TCTGCCTTGAGCAGTGCTGGCCTGGCTACGTGTGCCCCTTGGCAATGACGCCAAGGTATTTTCCTCCCCCCCCCCGCCCCGTGCCCTGGATCTCTGCTCCTGGAGCAAGAGCCATTAGTATTTCTATTGCAGTTACACAGGGCTTTGCCTGTTCAGAGCAGTTTCTCCTGGAGCAGTGGGGGGCTGACCTCATGGATGGGCTAGTGCAGATGGGGAAACTGAGGCACCAACCGGGGCTGGGATTCACTCAAGGTCACACAGCCAGTCAGTGAAGAAGCTGGGAACGGAGCCAAGTCTCTTGACCTGCAGCCCTGTGCTATAACCACTGGACAACGCTGCCTCCGCGGGGTGAACGGACTGGGTGGGCACAGTGCAGTGCAGGGCTCAGAGACGTGCGTACAGCTCCAGGGGAAGCTGCAGCTGTATGGCCGGGGCAGGATTGGGCCCTTCGTGCCACAGTCCTTCTGCTTGGGCTGGAAGGAGTCTGCTCGTTTGGTCCCACTCCCCCTCGGCTCGCCAGGGTGGGTCTGGCAGGGTCCCAAGGCTCAGCAGCAACCGGAGGGATGCCTGGCAAAGCCGCACCGCATCAGTGCCAGAACCTTAAAAGCACTTCAGCTGGACCTGGGGCGAGCGCATTAGCAAGACGCGGGCAGGGCGAGAGGGCAGTAGCTGTGTGGCTCCCAGCCAGGGGAGGCTGGGAAGATGGGCTGACTGGAGACTGGGCTTTTAAGATCAGAACACTTGGTTTTCCTGCGAGAGGTTTGCCAAGTGGCTGTGTGCACTCGCGTGTGCCCGAGCAGTGCTTGCGTGTGCAAGTGGCCTCGCACGTGGGCCAGACAGAACGTGGCTTTTAATGAAAATGTCCTGATTTCTTTCAAGAATTTTTCACAGAAAATACCCCCCATTTTCCAGTCGGGGCATAGGAGGTCAGATGGGTGGAGCTGGCCCAGAGCCAAGGCTCTCCTCTGCCCATGACACTGCCCACGCCCCTGTATGCCTAAACGGCCCCTCCCAGGGCTCCCGGGTGGCTCTAAAGGGGCTGGTTCGCCTAGACACCTAGCCAGTGCTCACAGCAGAGGCAGAGCTGTCCCTGGGCTGGGCCCCGCCATGCTGAGGCCATGGGCATGGGCGGAAGAGCCCCCTGACCGACTCCCAAGGCACCCAGCACCACCTTGAGGCCAGAATTCCTGCTGTGTTGAGCCCCCAGATTCCACTGGAAGTTGCAGGTTCTCAGCACCTCTGAAAATCAGACGCTGGCCAGCTGGTTCCCCCACCCCTGAGTAGTGCCACCCCTAGGGGCTCCTTGGCAGAAGCTAAAATTTCACCCTGCCCTAGATCCAGGTGTGCGCTTCCCTTTACCAGGCCGAGGTGGCCCCGCATCGCGTTCACAGATTCTGGGGCCGTTGGAGGTTCGATCAGGGCATGAGGCCCTCAGCGTGGGAAAGGCCAGCCCAGCCTCAGCCACTGAGTCCTGCTCTAGGCTAGAGTATTCGGTCTGCTTGGCTGCATTGCTCTGTGTCTTCCTGGGAAGTCTCCCATCCACATTCCAGCCAGGTCCAACCCTCCTTAGCTTAGGAAAGTGAACGCTGACCCCCTCCTCCAGGCTCCAGGAACAGCTGGGCCTCCCTAGGTGCGGCACCCGGCATCTGCCTCTCCGTTCCCACCGCACGCCTGGAGCCCGGATTCGGCTCCGGCCGTCCCAGGTGGCTCGGAGGCCCAGTTAGCGCAAACCCTGCAGACCTGGCCTCAATAGCTGAGTCAAGCGACAGCTGCGTGCAGGTGACACACTTCGGTGGGAGGAAAGGTAATTTCGGAGCCTTGTCTGAGACAATTGGCTGGCTTGTTAAGGCCCCATCAGCAGCAGATTGTGCCAGCTGAGCGGAGAAGGTGCTGGGACAGTCAATGAGGTGTTGAAACTGTTCTTCATTTAACAGCGAGTCCACTGGTCCCTCTCCTTGGAACGATCCCTGGCTTGGTCCCTAGCACCCAGTGGAGCCAGCAGGGCCAGCTCCTCAAAAGCACTTGGGCCCGTAACTCCCATTGACTTCAGTGGAACATAGGAGCCTTTGAGGATCTGGACTGGGGAGACTTTCCACTGACTTCCCTGGGGTTTGGCTCAGGTCCCTGGCCAGCCAGTGAGAGCAGTGGCAGGTGCACAGGCAGAGGCCATGGGTCTGAGGTGAGAGCTAACCGTGGCCCCAGCACTGACTGGATACGCGCTAGCTCAACTGTCAGCTATGGGCTGGCTTCAGGAATCCCTGGATGCGGTCAGACTAAGTGGGCAGAATGACCCCTTGTTGCCTTAGCAGTCGTGACTCTTGAATGGGTCACTCATTTCTCTGCCTCATATTCCCCATCGGAGGCTACCAGCATCACTGGCCCACTGGGAGGGTAATTGTCAGGGGTCACCATCATACAACTATCAGTTATCCCCAGTGGTACCAGTTATTTCCTATCCTCTGACCTCACCTATCCCCAGGCAGCTGTCATGGAGCCGTGATGGTTCTTGGTCAATGCAGGGACTGGCGGGGAGCTGACCCCCGCTCACCCCTGCCAGTGAGGCTGACCCGATCCTCAGCTGGGGTAAATTGACATTGCTGCATTTTCTGGGACAGGGGCAGGGGGATTTACACTCGGGGAGGGTCTGGCCCAGTGTTCCTGCACCAGGGAGGAGAACCCGCAAGTGAAACTGACTAAAGAAAAAGCATGAAACTGATCAGTCCCTTGGGGAGAAATGCAGAAAGCAGGGAAGCCTTGGAAACAGGGGAAGCTAGATTTACACAATTCATTTACATACTCACAGGTGTTTTTAATATCCATCCATCCATCCATCCATCTATGGTATTTCTATTCAACCCATCACTGCCAGATCTCAGCACCCCAGGTCCTTTCCCCACTCTCCCCCAACTCACTGGGTGACCCTGGACAAATCACTTTCCCTTTCTGTGCCTCAGTTTCTCCATCAGTAAGGCTGGGTTAGTGATACTGCAGCTGCCTGTGCCCGCAGGGGAGGGGGCTGTGAGGGTTCTGATCTATAGCCCAGGCCCCTGACGGGTGTAAATGGACACAGCGCTATGGAATGTGATGGAGCTTTGCCAGTTTACACCAGCTCCGGATCTAGCCCAGCATGTGTATTGTGCTCAGGAATTGGGATATTCGCATTGTCATTTGACACACCCCCCCTGCCCCCGCTCCAGGATTTGCAGATGGAATCGTCTTGTTTGCACATCAGGGATTCGCTGGAGCAGCCTTCACCCTGTTCAAATGCCTCAAAGGTCTCAGCGCCGCCGCCAGAGGCTGGGGACCAATGTACCGGCTGGGAGCGGGGCAGGGCGGGTTACTGCATTGTTAGCCAAGAGCTTTCAGGATATTAAAGAGTGGGCTCAGCAAACAGTCTCTGTGTGAGCACCAGGCGGGGTGGGAATCCCATTAACCTTTACTGGTGCCTGCCGCAGCCCCAGGGGTGCCAGGAAACACTCGAGCAGGCTTGGATGTCCCTGCCATAGGCAGCATCAAACAGGAAAGCCCAGGGGCCAGCTCTGGCCACTCAACTCATGTGGCTGCTGGGCCAGGGGGGAAGCCCCACTGCCCCAACAGGAGACAGCAGGGGCTGGGTGAGAGAGTGCTGGGTTCGGTGCCCAGAGCCTTGGGGTGAAATCCTGGCTCTGCTGGATCAAGGAGAGGTTTGCCATTGACTTCATCAGGGCCAGGAATTCACCGTGGGATCCATTCCTGGCTCTGCTAATGACCTGCTACGGGACCTTGGTCAAGTCATTTCCCCTCTCTGGGTCTCTGCTTCCCTTCCCACCCTCCTGCTGTCTTGTCAGTTTGTGCTGCCAGCTCTGCAGGGCAGGGACGCTCTCTGGTGTGCGTATGTACAGCCCCGAGCACAATGGGACCCTGGTCTCAGTCTCAGCCGCTAAGTGCAATGCTGCTGCTAAGGGCAGAGTCTGCATCCCTGACGTCTCCATGTGCCCCCAGAACACACAAGCACTGTGTCCCCAGCGTGCACTCGGGACGCTGCTACATGCACAGGTGGGCCCCGATGCCCAGGGTACCTGAGAAAACCCCGAGTTCCTCCCCCTCTTTTCCGAGTAGGGCCAATGTGCTGCTGGCATCTCCCCACTGGAGAGCAGAGCTGAACTCCGGTTTAGATCACACGTGACATGAATGTGAAGCTCTTGAATTCTTACCCCTGCTGGGGGGCGGGGGGAGCCCAGGTCTGGGATAGCAGGGGCTGCAGGTCAGGAGTGAGGGGCACCAGCAGAGCTGTGTGTGTGGGGAGCCTAGGGCTGGTATAGCAGGGGGCTGCGGGTCGGGAGTGAGGGGCATCAGCATCTCTCGCCAGTTCCAGGATCATGCCCCTGGTGTCATTTTCCCTTTCATTGATGCTGCTGCTGGCTCTGGATTCTCTCTGGAATGGCTCCCGGTGCAGACCCTGATCCCGCAGCCAGGACCCCCCTTAGTACTAGCTGCATGCGCACACGGCCCCCATGCCTATTCTGGGCTTTGTCTCGCCCCGAGAAGCCATGAATTTGCAGCTGTCGGGAGAGGTGTGCGAGTCCACCCAGCTATTCTATGCTCCGGGGGACACATGACGTATAATTAACAGCTGCTTAATTGATGTGCCTTGGGGCTTAATCACAGAGGCTCCTGAACTCTCCCCATGTGGGCTCTGTGCCAGGCCAGCTGCCGGCGCCAGCACCATTGTGGCGTGAGCCAGAAATTAGCAGCTGGAGACACCAAGAGGTGTCTGCCCCCTCGATGAGTCTCTCTTCCCCCAGTCTCTGTTCCTCCCTCCCTGTCTCCCGGCGCGCTGGGTTCTCCCCTCTCCTGGCCGGGAAAGGTCAGAGGGGTGGGCAGCTGCCAGCTCTCAATCTTATGCTTAGTCTAACTGTGCCCATTGAAGCCCAAAACTGGGGTCCCTGACTCTGCTCCCTGAGTGCTCCTGGGCCCCGAGGACGCCACCCCGGCTAACTAGCATCTCTCTCGCCCTGCAGTTTGGCAGGACCGAGGTCATCGACAACACCCTGAACCCTGACTTCGTGCGCAAGTTCATCCTCGACTACTTCTTTGAAGAGAAACAAAGCCTGCGCTTCGACCTGTGAGTGCCGGGGCTGGCCCTGCAGAGCAGGGGGGATGGGAGGCTCTGAGGGGAAAATGGCAAACGCTGCAGCTCAGGGAAGACCCTACAATAACAACCCCACATGGGCACAGCGAGAGACCCTGGCTGGGGCTTTGCTCAGGTGCTCAAATCCCATCCACATTCAGTGAGAGCCTGTTGTGACGGCCTGTGTGACAGCTCAGTGGTGCGCTGGCCTGGTGCATGGGGGGGAACGGTCAGATCTCCCAGCCCTGGACGCTGGAAAGCGACTCCCCAGCCTAGTCCACTGCTAGGGGCCTGGGTGCTCCCGTGGGACGTGGGAGACCCCGGTTCAAGGCCCTGCCCCCAAGCAGGAGGCCGTGCGCTGCCCCAGGAGCTGCCTGGTGGTGATGGGGAGTGCCAGGCCCGGCCGGAGGGGGGGCTATGGCCATGTGTCATGTGGTTTTTCCTCCCCCCCTGCAGGTACGACGTGGATTCCAAAAGCCCTGACCTCTCGAAGCATGTGAGTAAGAGCATGGGCCTTGCCCCCCCCCCCCCCCCCCCCCCGCCCAGAGAGCTGGTCTCATCCCTCCCGCCCTGCCCCCGTCCAGCCTAGTGCCCCACCAGGGACCCGGGCTGCCCAGGGCGAGAAGCTTAGGGTTACCATATTTCCACAATCAAAAAAGAGGACACTGGGGGGGAAGCCCCGCCCCGCCCCCATCCACTCCCTCCCACTTCCCACCCCCTGACTGCCGCCCTCAGAACCCCAACCCCCCCTGCTTCTTGTCCCCTGACTGCCCCCTGCTGAGAACCCCGCACCCTAACTGCCGCCCCTAGGACCCTACCTGTCCCCTGACTGCCCTGACCCTTATCCACTCGCATGGGTGGCAGGGTTGTAGAAATTTTGGTGGTGCCCAGAACCCACCCCCCGCACCTGCCTAAGGCTCTGGGAGGGGGGTTGGATGGGGGGAGGAGGTCTGGGGTGCAGGTCCTGGGCTGGGGATTAGGGTGCAGGAGGGGTGCAGGGTGCAGGTTCTGGGATAGAGTTTGGGTGCTGGGTGCAGGCTCCGGGCTGGGGTAGGGGGTGGGTGTGCAGGAGGGGGTGAGGGGTGCAGGC